CCTTGTTTTCACTGCGGTCAGGAAATGAAAAGATGTTCATCATACAAGTTTTGGGTGAAAGGGGAAATCACTCTGGGGGGTCTTATATGCCTACTGTGTCAGTCGACGACACCATAGTTATTTCCCCTGATTCTTGTCTGAACATGACGAGTTGACGATAATGATCTTGCGATAACACAGTCTTATTTAAGAAAAGCTGGCTCAAGTTTGAGGGTCACTTTTGGAGAGAAACCGTGCAGACGTTAGTTAAAGCATCTGCTAAAATGTAATTCACATCTTTGGGGGCGTATGAAGTGAGTTAACCTTTCCACTTTTTTCCCATACTTATTTTACCGGTAAAACCTTGACGCACTTTTTTTTTCCATACGAATTAAAACACGCAGGCCTAATTATGAGTTATTATCAGAAATACATTTTACATAACGAGAACATTTCAAAGATATAGGCCAAGTAAAACGTATAATTCTCTCTATTATTGCTTTGTTCTGTTCGGGCAATATAACACTCAAAATCGTATTATTGTTCAATTTTTAATTAATATAAAGTTTCCACTGGACTGTTTCAGTTCGCCATCTGTCATTGTTGATAATGACTGAGCTGAACATACACCCTGTATAAACGGACTCCGACATAATAATATTAATAATAAATAGCCTTTATATAGCGCATACCCCCGCTCTTTAGCAAGCTCTATGCGCTATACATTATATTATTACCCAAGCAGACCATAAAACACTTAGAAAACATCTCAGCTTCCCGAAAAGAATACAATGCAAGCAGCTGATTAAGCGCCCAAACACTAACAAACGAACAAGATCTTTCGCACTCTATAGCTGGGTACCCATTCCCACCTGGGTGAAATGAGGAAATTTAGTGCACAGTACCTTTCCCAAGGACAACACGTCGGGTCACTGACAGGATTCGAACCCACGACCTTACGGTTGCGGTTCCGACAGACCAACAACAATGATATTATGGAGGACAACAGTTCACGAAGAAAATGTGTCACCACACAGTGGACCCAGGTGCTGGTCAATTTTTAGGCAAGTAGAATTATTAGTACTATCTTGAAGCTTGTTCCTTTGTCCATCGTTCGACAACAAATGCCCATCTATCTTAAATAGAACTAGAAGTCGAAACATCTGTCGTTGACAGAGGTGGGGGTCGCCTGGTTTCAGATGTAAAATTAGCGAGAAAATACCTGCCAATGGAAACTATAATGTTACATTTTGTGTGCCTTGAATAAACCTTTTGGTTTTTCTTAACAAAAATCTAAACCAAAATGTACTTTCAAATGGGCATAAAAGGTGTTAAGGTACC